GATGAAACAATTCTACTCTAATTTTTTTCTGTTGCACGCTTTACAAAAACAGAGAACTGTCAACATGAATTTAAAAGTATTAGCTGTGACTAAGTTGAACTGCCCAGAACACTACTATGACTATCAAGGTAAAGAGGAAATACAAGGGGATGAGGAAGAGATGCTGTCGGACGCTAATCTTGGGATGGAGAACAGAGCATGCGTGCAGAATTCAAAGGCGCACAGCCAGAGGGGGCTTGACAGCTACTATATGATCTTTTTTTAATTTGAAAAGCATACCTATTGACTAAATGTGTGATGTGTGCACTTACATACATTCAGGAAGTACACTCATACAGACAAAATAAAATAATAAAGAAAATATTTTTTTAAGTAGATTTTCTTATACCTGCTTGGGTTGATAGATGATAAATTGGTGTTTAATTTAATTTAATTTTTTTTGTCTTTTTGAGACAGGGTCTTCCTGTAGCCCCAGCTGTCCTGGAACTCACTATGTAGACCAGGCTGGCCTCGAACTCACAGAGATCTGCCTGCCTCTGCCTCCCGAGTGCTGGGATTAAAGGCTTGCGCCAGCACACCCGGCTTAAATTGGTGTTTAATTTTTGTGATAGCACATGCCATAAGCCTTCCAAATACATCACTCTTTTCTGTAGCAATTTAATTTTTAAGATTTTATGGTATACTATATTAGGAATATATGTAAAAGTCATATTGAGGGGACTGGCGAGATGGCTCAGTGGTTAAGAGCACTGATTGCTCTTGGAAAGGACCCAGGTTTGATTTCCAGCACCCACATGGCGGCTAACCACCATCCATAACTCCAGTTCCAGGACATCTGATGCCTTCTTCCAACCTCTGCAAGGCATTGCACAACACAGGTGCACTTACACACATGCAGGCAATACACTCATGTACATAAAAATTAAAATAAAAAGTTATATTAAATATTAACATGATGCTTATTAATATTATATACATTATATGTTCTACTGAAATCATAAATGATCTACTTTGATACAGTGCAATACATTGTGAAGCACAGTATACATACATACCATATACATATCAATTACAAATCACTATGACTTATAGACGTGTAGTAGAACGAAAAGTGTTCAGGATATAGCACTAAGTAATAAAACACAGGAGCAAAAAATTCCAGGTTTTCATATATGTTTTATAAACACAGATGCAAACAAGAATGGAGAACATCAATATGTTATTTAAGTAGCTAGCTATTTGGGTAGTGGTAACTGGGGACCAGCTTCTTTCCTTCCTCCCTCCCTTCCCTTCCCTCTTTCCTTTCCCCCCTCCCTCTTCTTTCCCCTTCTCATCCTCTATCTTTCCTCCCACTCTCTTTCCCCCATCTCTCTCTTTGCCCCACTCCCTTCCCTTCCCTCTTTCTTTTCCTCCCTCCCTCTTCTTTCCCTTCTCATCTTCTATCTTTCCTCCCACTCTCTCTCCCCCATCTCTCTCTTTGCCCCCCCTTCCCTTCCTCCTTTCCTCTTCCTCTTTTTGGTTGTTTATTCCTAGCACTTTTACATCTGAAGAAATTACATTGACCTGTTTTATTTTTAACTTTTCATAAATTTCCCTACCTGAATTTTTCTTAGATTTAGGTGGAAAAGGAAACTGAAACCATATGTGCTTCTCTTTTGTACTCGACGTTCTTTTCAATGATTCTAAGCTATATTGATCCATTGACAAGGAGGGGGAAAGGAGGACCCACAACCCACTGTGCCTTTGAGAAGCAGACCTAGGAAAGCATTGTACTCATTCATTCCTCTTCGGGAAATAAAATTTTAATTAAGCAATTTGTTAATTTTTACCTGTTTTGATAATTGAGGAATCATTCTGTGGACAAACAAGTCTGACACTTTATATATGGTTCATATGTTTAAATATTATGTATTTCTTCTCCACAACAGTTAAGTTCATTTTAGTTTTAATATGCACAACTAAAGTGATTCCTAGTTTTCCAATATCACATACACATTTTTCTAATAATAAACTAGCTCTAAATTAATTCTAAGTTTTTAAATTGTTTAATATCTGCCTGAAGTTTTCAAGGGAGCCCAAAACAAGCCATGTTTAAAGACCATGATAAAAAAAATAGTAACAGTAAATATTTAGTAATGCCCCAAAACAATTAACTGTAGCAGTTCAGGATCTGACATTGAATTCTGAATCTGAGTTCAGACATTAAATCCTGACCTTTATGAGACGTGCTCATTTCATTGCAGGTCGGGGCTGAGAGTTGAAAGTGGTACAGGCAGAGCTTTAATGACACTTATGTTATACTAACATCCACATACAGTGTGTCTGCAACTGGTCTTAGTTTGGAGACTATCAAACTCATTATACATACATATATATATATATATTCGTTTTATATAGTAACTAGATTTTAATCAATTATTTTTTTAAAATGTGCTGATAGGCACAATGATCACTGGTGGTTCATGATATTCAGGCAAGACTGATGAAAGAACCATCATTGTAATAGTGCACTGACTCATTTCTACACTGTTGGGGTTCTATGGGTACCAACCCAAATGCCAGGGGTGCTGGGCCCAAAATTCAAGCAAGTGAGGGTTTACATGGAGGGTAGAGATAGGAAACAACATGGTTCTATGTTAATAGAGGTCAGAGGAATTCTGCAGAGAGCAGTCATGGCAAGGAAAGACTGCTGTGCAAGTGGGAGGGTGGCCAGTCTTCAGGCATCCCAGAAGAGATACCTGGTCTATTTGGTGTCAACCTGCAACCTCAGAGATAAGGAGCAAAGCTGCAGGGTGCCAGATCAAATTGGCACACACATGTGATAAATGTGCATGGGGGGATGCTCCCAATGGTCACAGGAGGACTTTGAAGGGTCTTATTCTTGTACACATTGTGGGGTTATCCTTTGTGCATCCATTAATGTTACTCTTGTGTTAGTCTCAGCCTGCTGTGGCTTTCACTTGGATAATGTTATTATTTTTGTAACTTTTTGGAAAGAGGAGGGGGAGCAGTCACCAGATGGCATTTGAGGGTGAGCTTCTTGTTCCTGTCTTCACGATTATACGCAATAAGGGTATTGTTGAGAAGCACACAGTAGTTAACCAGGACATTGTTTAGCTGTAATGGGAAAAAAGCCTTCCAGCAATATTTATTTCTGTGAGCAGTTCAAAGGTCAACCCTGGATGTGGTATTCCAGCCTTGGTTTTTGAGGCAGTCTCCCATTGGCCAGGAACTCTCTGAGTAGGCTAGGCTGGCTGGCCAGATGGTGAACCCCAGGTATCCACTTGTTGGACCTCACAGCTGCCTTTTTTTTGTTGTTGTTGTGTATGCTGAGGATCCAGTTCAGGTCCTTATGCTTTTACTGACTGACCTATCTCTACTTGCCCCTTGAATAGCATTTCATCTGCAAAAAAAGAATTCTCCATTCTTGGGTCAGACCAATGAGCAACAGGGAATTTAGAGTGATGCAATTTGTCCTATCCAGATGTAGCTGCACCTCAGATGCACCTGTTGGAAATGGCCTTTGGTTCCACTGCTTTCTTAGTCACCTTAGTGACATCTGCATCTGATGTGAAAAGTATTTTAGAACAACTCAACTTCTACACAGTTCACAGCTCCTTCATATTATATGAACGTGTAAATTGAATTCCCTCCCATGATTAGAAAAAAGGTTGGTTTCCCAAAAATGTTTTCATTAGCTTTAGGGAACTAAAACAGACCAGTGTCTGGGTGACTAACACTTCCTGTAAAATAAAGATAGATCAACACATAATTAAGTTCTGGCTCAAATATAATTGTTGTCTTGGAAACAGTTTGGGGGATGGATATGGTTATGTTAATGAAATTCTCCATGATTTCTACCCATGACCCAGTTGATTAATTAGGCCAGGCCATCTTATTACCTTATGCTACACACCTAAAAAGGTTATAAAACAAAACCAAACCCACACAATTTCCTGAGAGAGCACTGAAGGGAGGAAAAGGGGATAAACCTTGGACTATTCATTAACGCTTGTAAGTATTCTAGTCGGAGTAGGTTACAAGTGTTTTTTTCGATTATTTGTGGGTTTCAAAGATCTTTCTTGCCGAACGAGTCTACAAAACAGGGTTATATATACGACTTTTGGAAGAATCGCTGCCATTGCTTCTTGAACTCCAAATCCCTAAGCAGCCAGAGTTTTCTACTTGCAGCTCCAGTGTCCTGTACCTCTGTAGAAGTTCTGCTTAGAGCACAGCCCGGCACTTACCGGTTTGGCTGTGCCAAGTGTGAACTCCGGGCGCGGGAGCGCATCCCAGCTTAGATCACACCCACTTGGGTGTGCGTGCGAGTGTGTGCGCGGGTGCCCGCGCGCGTGTGTACGTGTGGGGAGGTGTGCGCCAAAGGGGTGGGGTGAGGGAGCGAGCAGGCTCTAGGTGAAGCGGGAGAGAGGGAGAGAGAGAGAGGTCGCGAGCTCAGGCCTGTCCCCCGCGGGCATAGGCAGCTGCGCGCACTCGGACACCTCTGGAACGCCACACGGAGACGCCACAGGCCCCGCGACCCTCCGCCCACCCCGCCGCGGGCACCAGGATGGCGCGGGACTGACGGCCGCCTCCCCCGGACTCCTCCGCCCCGCCCGGGGCTCGCGGGGACCGCGGCGCCACCCCGACCTGCATGCGGCCCGGGCGCC